TTTGTATTTTTACCCTTTTTTTTTGTCAAGTTACACTAGTATATATTACCTGTTGATGTTTTTTTTTTGTCAAGTTACACTAGTATATATTACTAGTTTATATAATTTGTAAAAAAAAATTAAATATATATTATTAGAATTTTTTAAAGAGATTTTATTAGCAAATGGACATAAGCATTTTCTAAATTTAATCTATATTATATGGCTTAAGCATTTTCTAAATTTAATCTATATTATGACACAAAAAGCAGCTAAAGACCAAGCTTGGGCTAAAAGGAGAAATCATATGAAAAAAGGTTGGGATTATGTTTAATTTTTTATCACTTAAATAATCTTCTAATAAATATGCTATTAGTTAAGCATTTCTATCTTTTAAAAAGGAGAAACTATATAATAAGAATTTAATCACAAGAAAAAAATGATATCAACCTCATAAAATCAAATAGAGTATGAGGATATAAGATTTTGAACCCTAGAAAAAAGCTATTTACTCCAAAGCCATACCACAAAAAGAAAAAAAGATAGGTTTTTCGAAAAGGAAATAAAGATAATTTCAATATTTGGGTGATGAAAAATAGAGAAAATTGTAAATAAACTAAGAAAATAAACAATACTAAACTTGTAAAAATATGATTGAAAATGCATATACAGGGCTAACTATCATTTACAATGATTGTATGACCTTTTATATATTGGTATAGATTTTAAATCCTATCCAAACATGTGAACCTTGATCTTATATGGATATTGTTACCATTTAATAAGTCTTTTGAATTCTCGTATAAATTAAACTCTTTCTCAGTTGATACTAAATGAATCTTAAACTAGCATTGAGACTTCCTATTAGTTATTATATTAAGGACTCCTTCTTTGAAAAGAACTAAGTGTTTGGCTTCATCATGTATATTCAAATCTTGTGGTCTATCATAACACTTAGTTGTCTAATCAATTGCTTCCTGAAATCTTTTAGTCGATTAAAACTCTTTCAACATGGTAGCATCACTATACTCGATTGATTATAGCTTTGTTCCCTTATTTGTTATGAATAATTATTATTCTTTTATAATTTATTTATGCATGTTTATTTATAGTGTAAACATATTATTATTATTATTATCAGCTAAAAGAAAATTGAAAGTATCAGTCCTCTAGGAAGTGCTTATTATCTTGGGTCTCATGATATTGTTTCCAGGTGTTGGAATTTCCACATAGAATAAAATGATACTCTAATGTTTCATAGAAAAATATATACATTTAACGTCTAGTCTAATAAATCTACATGCAATGAGTCCATGTTTATATCTTTTTATTTTAAAGTGAACATTGTGAAGTAAATAATAAATTAAATAGATAATCAAAGTTGATTTAAGATCCCAATTAAAGGATATTTAAAAAAATCAAATATTTTTAGATTGTATTTTGTATTAATTTGTTTCCTTATCATTATATTGTATTCTCTATATCAATCCAACAAACTATATATATAATTATTTTATTTTAACTTTCTTCATTTAGATAACTTACGAAGCACAAGCTTTTAATCATAGCTTGGATATTTTTCCTGGATATCTAAATTATAGTTTGAAAAAGGACAAAAATAATAATGAAAAGCACATTAACAAAATAAATAAAATAAAAAATTATAAAAAATTCAACAACATTAAAAAGAAACAATGTATATTCTACTCTAATGAAAATATTTAATTTTTCTTTTGCAAAATTAAAATTACTCATAAATCTAATAACATGATAACTCTATGGTAGAATAAAAATTATGGAAACTAATACATAAATTATACCAAATTTTGTTATCCTTTTTTATTTTTGATTGAGAAAGATCACTTTAGAGTGATTAACTAAAAGACCAAGTCCAAATCTAAATAAAAAGTCTTTCACAAGTTACAACAAATTAATTAGAAATTATATTATTGATAGGAAGGAGATTTGCTTATAGGAATACAAATTGTATTAGGATTTATATTGTGAGCTCCTAATCTACTATAAGTAAATAATATAGGGCTAGGAATTATAATCCACATAAGATTCCCTCTTTATAACAATATAAAAAAAAGTCATTCAATTACTTAAAATAATAGCCCGTCTCATATACACAATTTATTTTTCTAATTTATCCTTTATCTATCACACTTTATTCATTCTTATTTTTTACACAATTTATTTTTCTAATTTATCCTTTATTTATCACACTTTATTGATTCTTATTTTTTTTTATTTTAGGTTTTCGCTTTATTTATCAGAATTTATTGGTTTTTATTTTTATTGTTTTTATTTTTTCCTTTATTTATTTGTTTCTTTCTTGAATTTTTTTTATCTATATTAGTTTAATTTACATTACTCCTTCTCTTTAGAGCCCTATATTTTATTTGATTTGTGATGTTGATACCTGCCTCTACTCTACTTAAGATTAAGTTCTTAGCTATTGAAAGAAAGAAAAAATTAGATTAAAAATTCAACAATCAATCAATATATTAAGTATGATTAATCATTAAAATTATTTGTTAGATCAACAACTTTTAAAGACAAATTGGTTGGGAAACAATATATTAGTTATGATACAAATATTAGACAAGAAAACAAAATGGTTAAAGTAGATGGTGACCAATCAATCAATGCAATTGATAGAGGCCATCCAAATGGCTACAAGAATCCAAAAACAATTCATGAACTCAAAAAACCTAACACATCAAACATGCCATAATATGGGTCATCATCATCTAATTTTTCATACTAATAAAAAAAATTATACTAAATAGAATTATAATGTCTATATGTAATCTATAATGCTTTCACATTTTCTAATGACATTGCCTATATTAACTTTAATATTTTAGTGCTTATTGATACAAAATTTTGATAGAAAGTATACCAATTGCTTTAAATAGTATATTATAATTAAGATTATCATCTTCATAGGGATAATCTACCTACTAGATATTGAAATTATTCTAATCCTAAATTATTTCAAGGCACAAAAAAGATGCATATATGTAAGAAAATAAATAAATTGGCAATAAAAAATAAACAAAAACATGATATTAAAATAAATTCATTCATGGACAAGAAACTAAGATCTCTGATTTACCTAAACAAGCCAAACTAATTATTAAAATATATTACTAAGAAGCAATTATCATATATAATTTCTCGAGATCAACATGCATAACAATTCATTTGAATAGTGATTAATAATTCAAAGTATTAGATACAATGACATACTTAGTTAGGAAGAATTGATAAATACCTTAATAAAATAATTAAGAAATTTAAGAATGTCATGGAGATGCAATATTAAAGCCTTAACAATAATATGTAACTCATAATAAGATTATTATAAACCATAATCTCTATGGAGAAAGAAAGAAAAAGTATCAAGTAAAAAATTTTGTTTAAGTTGAATTTTTAATCACTGACAAACTCTTAATTAATATCTACTCGATGTTGAATTGCAAATTTCAATTATGAAAAGCCCTAACTTATAAGTTTTGATTGTTTTCTCTTCTTTAGTCTCAAAATTTCTAGTTTAATTTTCTTTATCAGGTTGACTTATTTTGAGAAAATGGTAAAATATCAAAGTTGTATGGTTTTTTTTTATATATTTCTCCAAACATCAAAATTGAATTGATTCGATATGTGTAGCTGAGATTATATGTAATTTACTAAGATATATTTTTGAAATTTCTAGTAAGAAAATTTCTAATTCTTAAAACATGCAATTTCCTCCTTTTATTCTTACTCAAAACATGTACATAAGTTAATCAACCTTTTAAAGATTAATTCTTTTAAAGATTAATTTTTTTATTTAATTGACTTTTAAGTGAGCTTTCTAACGAATCAAAATTCAATTTAAGCCAATGTTTTAGCTAGAGTTTTGAGGATTAAATGCTGATATCTCACTTCAAAACCTATATTTCTATGAATTTGTTTTTTTACATAAAAATAAATAAAATATATAAAATAGAAAAATTTAAGATGAACTAAAATAAAATTAAAATTAATAATGTTGTAAAAATTTATAAAAATCAAGCATATCACTTTCATGCCAACATGGTAGCCTCCTGCTTATTTTTTTTAAAAAACCGTATGACATGATCAAATGACCATAACTAATTTGGTCAAACCTTAATCATTAACCCATGACTCATCCTTTAGAAATGTATTTTAATTAGAACTTAAAACTAGCTAGCATTCAATTAAAGGATGACCAGTTAGAAATAAAAGTACAATTACCTATGATAATAATATTATCATAACCAAATTTTAGATTCTTCAAAATTATTTTATAAAAAAATTCATTTTTTTATTAAAAAATCAAAACTTTAAAATCTAAAAATATTTTCAAGAAATATGGTGGTAAGTTATTGAGCTATAACAAATCAAAATACTGGATTGTGATATTTAATTGTTGATAGCCCCAAATCAACGAGTCTAAAGAGAGAAACCCAAAAAATTCCCCACAATTCAACCTAGAAGAGAAGGGAAAAAAACCTTCAACCCAAAATTAACCATGAAATTTAGATTACAACTCTAATATCTATCAAAATGATAATTTGATTACCTCTCAATGAAGAATTTCTTCTCATTATCATAATTACAACTTATAATCACTATGTACCATAGTTACAATCACTAATTAGGTAACCATGAATAAGTATTTCCTATCAATAAAATTAACAAAAACACCTTATATTCCATCAGAAAACTCAAAATCAAACTAAATCTAAACAATTTTTGTGGGTTCTAATATACTTTTCTCCATATGATTAAAAAATCAAACCACCCTTATTGATCTTTTTTTTTAAAAAATCAAACCACCCTTATTGATCTTTTAAAAAAAAAAAAAAACAAACCTATTTGTACCCAGATTAACCTCCTTCCCTTGCTTTTTTCAATAATTTTCTCTCTTCTATCTAAGCTTTTAAGAATTAAAATGTGAGAAAAATAAATTTTAGAATTAAATTGTAAAATATAAAAACTTCAAGAACCAAATTAAACTTTTCCTTGAAAAGTACTATAAGAATCCAAAGTTTTATACGAGGCGTGACTTTTTTCCACAGCAAAAGACAATGTCTTTTGGCTTACAGTGTCATAATAATAATTTGCAATCGCAATCACACTCTTGAACGCAGTTCATCGCAGCAAAAGGGAGGGGTGATGGAGTTACCTTCAAGATATTCTCGCGTTATTAGTTTTCAAGTTATTGTAGTTTATTGTCAAACAGTTTTGGACGATAGATTGAATGTGATGTTCTCTAATTTTCTCTCCTCTAATCCACTCTCCTCCTCCTCCATCTCCACCTCCTCCTTTCCTCTTCCATGTTTTCCTTCTCATCTCCGCACTACATCAGATAGTTTGCAAGTGCTCGTCAGATTTCCTCTGTAACAATAAACAGATCAGGTTAACAAAAGGAAATGAAAATGTCTCAAAAACTAAATAACTTTGCCTCAAGCAGGAAGATAATTGGATTTGTGTGTGATCTTCTTGTCTTCTTCCATAAAATGTCGGTTCATACTACACTCCTCCATCGAAAGCATAGAGCATTTCTTGCCGGTATATCACATTGTTGAAGGCTTTAAGCTAACATAACATCCATAAATACAATAAGGCGAGCTGAAATAACATTTATTGACGAGGAGAACCACAAACTTCACCAATACCCCCAGCAAGTGAGCCCGGACCAAAGTTTAACATACAATTACATTTTACATTTAAATTGATTTACTCAAATTCAAGCCAGAATCAAGGCAGAAAGTAAAAAAGAAGACAAAATGTCAACTGTATGAATTGCAAATTACTGAAACACCAAAAGCAGTTCTAGATTCAACCTAATCATTGCATCAGTCTCCAGTGCTTCAATGTTTTCATGAGACCACAAAATAAGGTTTCTGTTTCTAAAATGGTTCATAGAAATCACTCTGTTTCTTGCCAGGCAGCCCCACCTGCTCATAAAACAATCCCAAGTGATGTAAATGAGGTAAATAGCACTTAGTACCTTGAGGATGAACAGTAAAACTCTTATATCATAATAATTATTAACATAGAAAAGAAGAGGTATTAAGAAAGTAAAGGCTTGATATAACAGGTGTACCGTTGACAGCAAAAAGACTTCGGGAGGTTCTAACAAAGGAGAGCAAAGCATACCAAAATAGAAAGCCTAGAAGTCATCACATGATACCATAATTCATAATCAAACAACAGTTGCTGCTAAAGAAAGAAACTCATTGTTCCAACCTGTCCTTTTCTCCCTCACCTTTCAGTAACCTCTTCACACCCCCACCCAGGACAGTAATCATAACATGGTTTCAGGTTAGAATTCAATCATTTGATAACAATGCAGTTTGACCAGTCACAAATCATCAATTGCATGTAAAGCTCGCTGCACAAGCTCTACTATGTTAACTATTTAAAACTTAAAATCAAGTGTTTTAACCTAAACTAAAAGAACACAATAGAACTAATGGGCTAACAGCTGGAAAGAATCATCATCCAATGATGCTGAGTTCTTTATTCTGTTTATTCAATTCTACTTTTTAAGTGAAGTGTCTCCAAAATCTATTATTGGAGCAAAAGTTTATTGCTCAGCCCAAATTCGTTGGTCCAAAAGTTGACATCCTCCAATTGCAATCTGAAGATATCAAAATCTATACTCGCTCTTCAGCTAATGATATGATCCAGAGGGGAACTTCTCCCCGCTATCCTCTCTATTAGGAAAAACAAATGCAAACCAATCAAATCCATCTATCCTCTCTTTCAGCTCTTTTTTTGCCTACACTTTCTCAATATACCCTTCAATCAGGAGTCAAAGCAGCCATAAACCTCTCAAATGGAAAAGGCATTAAATCAGGTGCATTTAAGTTCACTAGTAAAAGTAAAAAACAGAACTAAAATGTACAAATTATATATAGCTAAAGAAATCACTTAAATCATATTACCTAGTGATGAAGTTCACTCTAAAATATGGAAGCCAAAATCTACAGCCTAGCTCAGATTAGTTAACTCCAGCAGGTCATAAATGTTGCAGTCCAAGTCCAAAGAATAAAAATTTATAACTGCTCATGAGCTAATCTACAGCCTAGCTCAGATCATTTAACTCCAGCAGGTCATAAATGTTGCAGTCCAAGTCCAAAGAATAAAAATTTATAACTGCTCATGAGCTAATCAACAAATATTTTCGCTTCAGCAGCTATCCATTCCAACTCTAAACCAATATGGGTTTTTTTTTTTTTTCAACATTTAGCTCAACAATACAAGTCTTCTCAGAAAGAGTACCACAAAGCTCAGAACAGAGCTAATTAAAACTAGCTATGCCATCATGAATAAAACTAAACCACATAACTCAAATGTACAAATAAGTTAGGTTATACAACAAAGTGAATGAATTGAAAATTATTTCCTAGTTATGAAGTTCACTCTCAAATATATTATTTCAAGCAAAAATTTACAACCCAGCTCAAATTAGTTAAACCCAAAAGGCTATATCCTTCAATTTCTGTCTGTATAACAAAAAGAAAATATAACTGCTCTGAAGGTAATCTGATACAAAAAGTTTCCCTTCAGCTGATATCCTTATTCCTTACCACCTCAACACCGAGAGGGGGATTTTTTTTTTCCCCTCTTAGCAATTTAAGACATTTCTCAGAAAGTGTATCGTCAAGTTCTCAACAGAGTTATTCAAGACTAGTTATGCCATCATATGTGAAACTAAAGCACAGAAGTCAAATGTACAAATCATTACTGGTTAAATAACTTGGGAAATCCCAGCTAAAGCCTAAATGTGGAGTTTGGACAGGTTGATGTATGCAGAAAAACCCTGAAGACCACCAGTATAATATCAATCAGATTATGATGTTTTATTTTCCAAAAAGCTGTCTCAGATTGAGTAAATGTCACAAACTTCTTGCACCATCCTCCTACTTTGTTACTTTACTGTTCACCTACATTACTTTCCTAGCAACGCAGTAAAGTCAAACAGTCACAATTCCAATAATGAATGCAGCATCATAGAAAACAAAAACTTTGGAAGAAATTTGGCTACAAAGGTGGTTTCTTCTAAGGTTTTGAAAATCCAAGTACTTCCAATATTATGATCTTCAGCTCTTTGCTAGATCAGTAGACTCTTTATGAGAAATCAAGCTGCAGAAGGATGAGACACAATGCTTGGTAATCGCAAGTTTAATACTTAATAGCTTATACTAACCAAGAAAATCACCATATGACACATGCCAGCTCAGAAGCAACCAAATTTGAAGTACCACAAAGCTTATTACCTTTCCCTCCCAAATTAAAAGTTCCCCTAAACAAACCCAGATATTAATAACACAGGCCCGCCTATGCGGTACACGCTCTAGTAGTTGTTATAATAAGAAGGAAAAAAAAGCCTTGCTTCTATGGAGGAAGAACACATCAATCAACTGGTACTCAAGACAGCAATTCAAAAATGGGTCTTTCTTAAAAGCTTTGTTCTGGTTTTGTAACCACACATATGGTTTCATTCCAGTATAAGTGACCTCCACTGGGTCTATTAATGTTGGTACAAACAAAGAAATAAAAAGAAATTTATTAGCAAACAGCAGGGAGGATGACATCAATGAAGGAATCAACCATAATTCTAAAATTTCAAACAATAATGTAAATAAAGATCCAGAATCCAACAACCAATGCCAAATTCAAAACATGATTAAAACAACACATACCTTAACGAACAACATCCATCTGTCTATCTAATCTTTTGCATCCCAGCACTCTTCTTCGCTGCCTCATTAATTTTGTCACTATACCCTTCAATGGGTGGAGTCAAAGTAGCCATGAAACTACCAGCAGGAAAAGGCGTTAGATCCGGTATCAAGGCGGCCTTCTTCAAATTCTCCGGTAAAGCCTCAATAGCCTCGTTCTTACACTTCAAGCTATTAGTCAAAGCAGCCTGCCTGGCCCTATGCTTTCTCATCAACACCCTACTGTACTCCTTGGCCAATTTCATCCCATCCTCCTCAGTCAACTCATATTTTGGTATCTTATCGACATCAACCAAACCTAAAGAAATCAAATCTAAACCAGGAGTCCCTATAATCATGGGCTCATCAGGAACACCCATAGCTTGCCTTCCACCTTTCTTTAAAATCTCCTTTTCGCGAATCCTGTCTTTGCTTAGAAGTCCCAATTTTTCTCTTTCTGCTTCACGAGCACGGTCTTTGGGCTTTAAGTAACGAACTGGGGTTGGTGCGTTGATGAACTGGTCATAAAGACGGTTCCTCTCAGAGTCTTGACGCCTAGAAGGATCTTGAGAGCCTGATTTCTTGTTCTTGTTCGTTGTTACTTTAGAGCGTTTCTTTGCTACCCCATCTTTGCCTTTTCCTTTCGACGTTCCACTTACAGAACAACGTTGGAGGAATTGGTGGGTTAGGGACTGGAGTGGTTGTTGCGTTCTTGTGATTCTAAGCATTTTTGTTTTTTTTAGCTGGTGTGTGCTTCTGCAATAGAATGAAAATGGGAGGAAACAAATGAAGTGGTAGGGTTTTAGGAGGAGGAGTGGGCTTTTTCTACTATGCGCCGATAAAACCTTAGCCCTCTTTGATAATCAAATCAATTAGCCTCAAGCCTCAACACATTTACATTTTATGCCATTAAAGAGTGGGAGGGTTGTTTAACAAAAATTAATTTTAAATTAAAATTTTCATGAAATATTTCAAATGTCACCTAAGGTTGATGTTGCAAAAACGCTGGATATAAAAGTAGAAATTGAAAGAACAAACATCATATTTGACCACAATCAACAAAACATCCCTCCTTTTGAATTTTGTGAAACAAATTTCAATTTGATCCTTAAAATTTTAATTTTTTTATTTAATTTTAATTTTTAAAAAATTAACTTTTTGATATCAAATTTTATTTTTCTTTTAAATTTCAATTTGATCCTTAAAATTTTAATCTTTTTTATTTTAATTTTTTAAAAATTAATCTTTTGATATCAAATTTTATTTTTCTTTCTTTTTTACTCCCTAGATGTTAAGACTCAAGAGAGGTTAGAGACAATAGATATAAAATTTTGAAGAAAGAGAAAGTGTCATGATGTTTCCCACCCATTTTATTTTTAATATTTATATATTAAAATGATATAAAAATAAATAAAAAAAGTTAATTTAAAATAAAATAATAATTGTTTTTAAAGACATTTTTAATAACAAACGGGCTCGTCTTAACTATTGAGGTCGTCGACTTCACCAAATTTCCGCTTCTTCTTCTCACTTTTTTTACTTCATAAAAACATTTTAAAAAATCTCACATTCATTTCTAGGGTTTTGAAGAAATAGAAAAACAAATGTTAGGTGGTGGATTATATGGAGATCTGCCCCCGCCATCCTCCGCGGCGGAGGAAGATAAACCAACTGCCACCACCTCCACTGTATGGTCTACTAGTACCTTAATGGCTCCACCTACTCTTCGTAAACCCATTCCCCCACCACCACCACAAACTATTTTAAAATCCCAAAACAAACCTAAACCTTCCAAAACTTTACTTTCTCCGGCACCACCCGTCACTGTCCTACCCGATGAGGTGGCTGCGCAGCCGGCATTGGTAGGGGTGAATTCGGTGGTCATTGAGGAGTATGATCCCGCGAGGCCGAATGATTATGACGATTATAGAAGGGAGAAGAAAAGGAGGGCCGCGGAAGCAGAGAGGTTGAGGGAGATTGAGAGGAGGAGGCAAGAGGAGGAGGAAAGAGAGAGTAGGGAGAGGGAAGACAGGGAGAGGGATACGAATATTTCCGGGGAGGAAGCGTGGAAGAGGCGTGCGGCGATGAGTGGTGGTGGTGTTCCGAGGAGTCCGTCGCCACCCAGTAGTGGGGATGGGTTTCGTATTGGGAAGTCAGAGACGGTTGGGTTGGGAGTTGGTGCTGGTGGACAAATGACTGCCGCCCAGAGGATGATGGCGAAGATGGGGTGGAAGGAAGGGCAAGGATTGGGGAAGCAGGAGCAGGGGATTACGACGCCGTTGATGGCCAAGAAGACTGATCGGAGAGCTGGGGTTATTGTGAATGCCAGTGAGTCAAAGCAAGAGAAGAAGGTGAAGAGTGTGAATTTCAATGGAACGCCTACTCGAGTTTTGCTACTTAGGAATATGGTATGCATATCTACCTTCCTTCTGTTTGGTAAATAATGGCAATCAGGTGAATGGACTACAATTTATTGTTATTAAAAAATAACTGACATAGACATCTGAAATGCATAGCAAGTTATTTCTGCACTATGAATGTAACTACAATGAAAGAAACTAATGGGAATCAGCAAGACATTGTTATGTTCTATTCTTTGTTTGTAATTTATTCTTTTGTATCTTGTAATGCCTTCTTCACATGTTCCATTTATTCCGTTGTGCTATAACTTTCCCTCTAGTGAACAAGAAACTACTTACGTTGTGCTATATCCACTACCTGAGATTGCTCATTGGTTCTGCTTTGAGATTCACGAAGATTTGATATATTCTAATTTTATCTAGTAATCACCTGGTCTACCATCCATATCTTGCTTTGCTGTGCTTGTTTCTATAATTTCAAATTTACTAGTGTGAGAGAGCAATAGCATTACATTGGGCTGTGTAATTTCATCTGTTAAACATCCTCGGTCCACCTTTCCCCATCTTCTTTTATTGTGTTTTTGTCAAGGCTCAAGCAGGTGCATTCTTTATGGCACCTAATGTAGTTTGCTTCTATAAAGGCAAAATGATGAGGTGTTAAGAGTTGATAGAGGCAATTTGGTTTGATAGCAAAATTAGCAATATTCACTACTACTAGTGCTGTAATCATGTCTCTGATAATCTCAAAAAATTGAATTTGTGATGTTGGTGAGGTGATCAATCTTTTACTTTTCCTAGGAAAGCTCTATGGTGTCACCGTCAAAGATGAATTAGGTAACTGTGATAAGTATTCTCCATATTGCCCTGAGGAGAAAGAACTCTGGGGTTTTGATAGAAGCCATGAAGTTTCTGATTGAGGAGAATCCTTGCATTTAGATTAATATTTGGTATTGAATATATTGTTCTGTTGCCCACTGTGTTTCTGCAAAATGTACTCTCCATGTTCTTTTTGGAATCACTTGATATTTTAAAGTCTTAAGTGATGGATATCCACCATTACTCCAACTTTTCTTTTAGCCACTACTTCAGCAGCTTGCTTATTTCTCCTTTCCAAACATAATTGCTCACTGACTATCCGACCTCAGGCTGTGGTTTTGGAGTGTATAAGTTTGGAGCTTTAACATGCTTTTCTCAAATTTTAAATGCCCTCCTTGACACCAGAAATTTCTGTTTTTATGTTTTTTTCCCTTTAGAGGGAAAAATGTTGCCAGTAGCTTGTGGGCATTCTTATATTAAATAATCGATGAGCTTGTTCACCAATGTATTATCTCAAAGAGGTTTACACTTATTCAGATCACCCCAAGTAAACTTTAATGTTTTCTGTTTCCTTTAAATGTCCTCAGAAGCTTTATTAAGATTGCTTTTCAAAATCTAGAGGAGTAATGTTAATATAAACCAGATGATTGAAGATTGCTTGCTTGTATTTGTCCTTGATGGATGGGTTTAGTTGTGCTTGAAATGTTCGAAGCACTCAAAAGTCAGTGGAAGTCACAATATACTAAAGGGTTTAACTCAATATATCTATAGGCACTCATTTGAGCATCCCCTTTTGTAATACCAAATCATAGGGTACAAAAGGGTTCCAGTTTAATCTTTTCTCTGCCCTCTGACTTCAGGAATCCTGACTTCTATTTTGCCATCAATTATATTATTTGGTGGAAGCTTTGTTTGACAGAGAACTGGATGCCTCTAAAAGCATGCTTTTTTTCTTTTCTCACCATCAAAGCCTGAGTGCTGAAACTGTTGCATGATTATTGGCTTAGTTGCTCTGCTTCAGTATCTGAATTGCTGGTGAAATCATTTTTGTGTTAATTTTTGCTGTGCCATCTGTCATGTCTTTGATACGTAAACATTTTGGTTTGGTGACAAAAATGAAATTTATTTTCTAATGTGATTGCTTTTTGGTTTCTTTCACTTCAAATTTTATTCCTTAAAAAATATGTTATATGGTTTTAACATAAAGTGTCTATCCCATGCTCCATGTTTGTTATTGCAGACGGAAATGAGAATTTGCTGAAAATGTTCCTTTTTTCTTTTCTTATTTTCTTCATGAAAGGTGGGTCCAGGTGAGGTAGATGATGAACTAGAAGATGAGGTTGCATCCGAGTGTGCAAAGTATGGAACAGTCACTCGGGTTCTTATCTTCGAGATCACTGAGCTGAACTTTCCACGTGAAGAGGCAGTTAGAATTTTCATACAGTTTGAGAGATCAGAAGAAACAACAAAAGCATTGATTGATCTTGATGGGCGGTTTTTTGGGGGTAATGTGGTTCGAGCGACCTTCTATGATGAGGAGAGGTTCAGCAAGAATGAGTTGGCTCCTATTCCTGGTGAAATCCCTGGCTTTTGATGGCCGATTGAATAACTTGTCAAGTTTCCTTCACATTCATCAGGAAAGTTATGGTGGACTCTTATTTTGATTCCCAGTTTACTGTGAGAATTAAGCTGTGGTAAGTAGGTTCCAGCTTTGGGTTAGGTGGAGTGTAAACTGTGCTTCTATTGATAATTATAAGCTGCATGCACTTGTTACCGTTGAATGAACCATAGAGAATTTATTTCTTCTTCTTTCTTTTTTTCTGTTCAAATATTCTCCCTTTGGTAGGGCAAACTTCTACATTCCTTGTACAAAGATAGTAGTCGACTATGATTGCATTGAACATTCCGCTCATAAAACATGATGGCAGTTCTTGAAACTCGAGGAGATCTCATGCAATGCATTTTTATCTTATACGTACATCCTTTTTTCTGTTGTTTAAATTGAAGAAAATCAGCTTACATGCTTGTGCACTTTTCTTATTTGTTTTATTGTCAAATGATGTTTGTTCCCAAAGCAAAATGACATCGTTACCTTTTGTGGATCGTCTGTGTTTCTCAGGTGAATCCAGAAACTTGACTGCGTGCGCAGACGTAGAAAACTAGTTTGTTTTTTCGCTTTATTGGAAGCCCGTCGGCCTCCACTGCACAGCACAACAAGTAGTTTTAATTTGCAAAACAAGGAAAGCACGGGCGGGGCTGGATCTTCTATTATTTTGAAGATCTTATAGTGCAACAAAATAGTTTATGAAGATATAATCTGGAAAAGACTATATAAAAATAAAGCGATGAAGAAGATAGTAAAGATAAATTGTGAAAAAAAATAAAAGAATAAAAGATAGCAGAAAGCTTGTGAATAAAATTGTGTACAACGAGCGGCCCATTTGCACTGCCTCAAATTTTCTTTTACATAACCTAAATCTATCGTACAATAAAATCCTCGAGAAACCCATGTACCTCGGCAGCTAACACCATCTTTTCTGATTAATTTGATTAATTTGGTTGTTAATTGATTAGTATTAAAAAATATATTTTTATTAAGGTTTTATATTATTATTTTGTATTTGAAGTATTAATTTCTTAACTAAAATATATTTTATAATAACAAGTTTGATACCATAAGAA